GTTAATGACAAGGAGACTCAAAGAGGCCATGTTGACTGAAAAGATAAGTTTGTGGGGCAAGTAGGTTTGAACATATGAGAAAGAGACTTTTATCAAGAGGAAGGGTATATCTATGATTTCTAGCTTCCACTCCTGTGTTGAGGCCTAAAATGGGTTTGAGAATACTTGTTAGGGTGAGATGCCTGCGATGGTACCACATCATGACCCATGTAGCAGATGGGTATTTCTGTGTCCAGAGCTTGAAAATTTCCTCTGACAACTGGAAATTTCAAGGAAGAATTCCAAGATGGTAACATAGGTCACCACCACCTGCCCCGCTAAAAATATATATACTCATTTTAGATGCATCTGACATTTAAGCCTTTTTACTTAGAAAACAGTAAGAATGAGTGTATACTCTTTTATTCGATCCTCATAACTCTCTGAGGTCAGTATTATCCTAAATTTGCAGAAGGGACTTAGAGGCTCACAGAGTTGAAAGGCTTACCCAAGACCATGACATGACTCCATGTCTCTCGAGTGAAGTAAGGAAGGCTTCCCCCACCAACGCAGCTTCCATGGTTGGTTATGGAGGTCACTTTGAGAGATGAGCCTGTACAAGATAGTGATGTTCATAGTTGTGCCAAGGATTCAGAAGGCATCATGATGCCATCCCATTCACAGAATTGCTAGAAACTTTCCTTTGGACACCCAGAGCTGCCTTCTTTTCAAATAAGAGTACTTTTCCACTGTACATCGCAAATGCAGAGGAGGTAACTTCCCCTCAAGGAGCCTGTACTTGTAAGACTGGTCCACAAGCACTTTGTCCGTATCCTGCACACATGGATGGTAAGGGCTTGACTTGTGTAAACTAATTCTTTGTACTCTCTCAGCTGCTCCTTACTTAATTGGTTAGAGTGCTTGAGAAGACATGTTTAGAAGCTGACAAGTAAAGGCCACCAGAAAAGCAAAACTTCTCCTTCATTTTCAGGTTAAAAGTATCACCAAAGGAATAAAGCATTAAGTTTTAGCTCAGTAAGCCAAAAGGAAAGTATGGTGTGGGTATGGGAGAAAAGCAGCGAGTATTAATATACCTAATATGACTACAGTACCATTTGCCATGTAGGTTTTAATTATGTCCCATTCCGTGCCCCCTCAGCCTCTAATTCCTTAAATTCCAAAACAACCCCAGAGAAATCTTTCTGGTTTTGCTTGGAAAGCAGCACTATGTTTCCACGCCTGTGCATTCTGAAACAGTTCCGTCAAACTCCAAACCTAAATACAAGCTGACAGAAATCAGCTACTAACAAATTAAGTTAAATTAATAGAGTAGATGCCTGAAGTATAAAGGAAATGTGTTTTTTCCAGGAACTTCTCTCCATAGATGCCAGGCTAGATAGAGGGCCTACAGCAAACCTCAATCTCCACAGCAAACCCCTTCCTTTGCCTCATCATGTTTCCTAGAAAGCCCTGCATGGATATCCTCTTCAGAATTATTGTGCTGTGCCCACTAGCGGCAGCCTCCAAACCCCCATCTACCAATTTTCTTATATCTTTTTAATTGGTTTTTTATCTTTATTGTTGAAAGTATTACAAATGTCCCTCTTTTCCCCCATTCACCCCCTCTACCCAGCACCCCCCTCCAGNATAGCCATATAAATTCTTTGGTTAATCTCTTCTCACCCTCCTCCCCACTTCCCTCTGAAATTCATCAGTCTGTTTTATGCTTCCATGTCTCTGGACCTATTTTGTTCATCAGTTTATTGTGTTCATTAGATTCCACATGTGATACCGTCTACCAATTTTATGGGCATATTAAAGACATGATAGATGGGGGGGAAAATGCTGGCCCAAGAAACCCTATTTTAAATCCTGATTCTGCCATCAAATAACTATGGACCCTTGAGCTAAAGAGTTCAGTTTTATGAATATAAATAAGTTACAAGTATATGCAATACATGACAAATATAGATTCTGTCCCATGTAGATTTTGTCTTTAGACAATATTTAAAACTGTTTTTATGAAGGCAAATACTTGAGCTTTTTTATCATTGCATGGACAGTTTACAGAATAAAAGAACATACAAATGCCAGGTCTCAATATCCAGATTCCTTTCCATTTCCACTATCCCCATCCGATGGATCTCCTCCCTTCTCTTCACCAACTCTGTGAGCACTCTTCTCCAGGCTCTAGGCAGGCAGAAAACGTTATCGCTCACTCAGTAGCACCAGTGCCTGGAGGAACTCATGTAGCTACAAAAGCTAACCCCCACCTAAAACAATAGTTGGTTCAGGCCCAGTGGGGGAGTGGGGTTTACATCCTCTGCATGATGAGATCAGGCAAGTACAATAGTGCTATGGGGAAAACATCCGAATATGAAGTTCTAAAAATTGTCTAGGGGAAATTTACCAATATCATGTGCCCCTCTTGCTTGCTTCTCGCAATCATCTCATTCCCCCTCCATTCAGTGTCCAACATTATCAATGGAAGCGTCATTGAAATACCAAAAGACAGTCTGGAAGTACCTTATCAAGCTCTTTTTAACAGTTCCCTCTGCTGGGTAGGAAAACATACTTCAACTGGGTTTTAGAAGTTGATAAACTGAAATGCAGGAAGGTGAAGGGATTTGCCAGTGGTGATTACTTAAATGATAGCAGGACCAAAATAAAGTTGAGTAGACTTCTAGCGTCCTGCTCTGAATGTTCAAGAACTCTTTCTGTAGAGAAGAGAGAGATAGTAACTCTTTCTGTAGAGAAGAGAGAGAGAGTGCTGTTTTAGGGAGGCAACTGTCCCGGTGGACTTGGGAGCTTCACAAATTTTAACCCATGGCATTTGAGTGTGGTGAAACTGAATAATGATCTTCTAAGTTCAGTCATCCTGAATAGTTAGTTGTATTGAAATCTGACTAAGTCTGCTGTCCTTATTTTCATTTGGAAATTGTTATGGAGGCCTACATGTTCCTGGGACATCATAAAGATTTAAATCATAAAGTCAACTTGTAATTTTTCAAATCTAAAACAGCCTGAAGGTCTAAAGAGATTTGGCAATGATGCTCTATTATATCTGTTAAGAGATATAATAGAAAACAGTGACATTATTACTTAAATATTGTATGGCAAAGATAAGTAAGTTATATAGTCATATTTCTCTTGTTAGTTTCTTTGAAACAAACAAACGTAATTGCTCAACTGAGAGAAAGCACCTTGCATCTCGATGAGTGACTGAATGAGTGGGTGAGCTCTGTCGCAGTTTCTCATAGCCTTTCTGTCATCCTTCACAAAGTTTCAGCTCTGGTTCAGCACCACAAAAGCTTGACTGTCCCCAGTAATAGCAGTGATGGTCTGCAATGGCACAGAATCAAACACAAATAAACCATCCAGAAACTTCCCTTTGGCTAAAGTTTTCTATTTCCTTCCCCATTTTTTTTATTGCAGCTGCCCATGCGTAACTAGGTCGAAGATTGATGTAAGCCTCGCTTTTTCTCTTTCCTGCCTTTCCTCCAGCAGGAGGTGAGAATGAGCAGTTCAGCAGGCCCAAGGCCAAAGGCAGTGTTGAGGGGGCCTGATTCATTGCCAGTCTCCACACCCACCTCAGAATAATTAAGGGCTGACTAGAGGCTGTGCCGAACTGCAAATGCCCCAGAGTCCAGAGAAATAGTGAAGAAAGAAAAGAATTATATAGCGGGCAGAATGTGTTGCTAAGGCAAGAGAGCTGACTCCTTGTCTTAATTTTATCGCCAAGTCTTGTGAGTTCTCCTGAGATTTTTATGGGTTTTTTCCCTTTCCTGAAAAACAACCCCTGCTACCTGCTTGCCTTCTAAGGATGGATATTAATAAGATATTAGGTGACCAGATCTTTGGGCCTTTTAAAATTAGGGAGTTGGAAATAATCACGAAGATAGAAATGACTGACTCTTAAGAGTCCAAAATCCAACTCTAAACTGTCTCTGTGCTGTTGAATGATTTAGCAATGTAAGGCCCTGCCAGGTCTAAGCACTGGATCTCTGAGCTTCCTACCCTGTCCTCCCCCACTGCCCTTCTGGATTCTTACCTCCACAAACACATTCCAGTTATCATCAGCCTCACCAAGTCACCAAGATAACAGCTTCAAGTCATCCTTAGTCATTAATCTGCCTAACTGCCATGATGTAGCAGGTAGTTCTTATAAGTCGCCTAAGCTGAGAGAAGAAAAATTAGTAGACTGAGGTTGAAGTGGGTTTTTAAGCTCGTGGTGTAGGCACCCACAATTTTATTCTTGTCATTCTTTTCAAAGCAAAGTGTCTGAACTAGTGATTATTCTGGAATAGTCTACATGACCCTGAAGGACAGGGGTTGCCTTCATTCTACTGGGCACATTCTCTATAGAGGGCCCTCTGCCAAGTATTGTGGGAACTAAAACAATAAATAAAATATGAGTTTTGTGCCCATAATGTTTGCAGACTAATAAAGACAGTAGATGTACTTATGACTACCTGGAATTGAAAGGTAATTACACATACAATTGCCTTCAGATGTACTCATAAAGATCCTCTCATTGATATTTGATTTCTGGCTTCCACTCTCCCTCTTCCAAACCTTAACAGATGCGTTTCTTCCTATCTGGAAGCTCCTACTTCCTCCATCCAACTGAGCCCCGTATCTCCTTTATAACACTGCCTTTTTCCTTAATGAGCCTTCCCCAGATCCACCTGCACCATTCATTCTTCCTCCTCTCTCACCCCTGAGGTGTGTTATATGTATTCAGTGCACATATGTTGTCTGTTCCAACTGGTAGCATTTAGATCAAGTAGTCAACAGGCAGCTTAAGCAATCAAAAACCTCCTTATTTGCTGTTGCTACCAGAATCACACCAATAATCACAGTGACAAGAGAGCCTGGGTTCCTGAGTATCATTGTGACTGGTTTGTCCCTGTTGTGAAAACAGAATTCTGAATGTCCCTTGGGCTCCTTCCTGCTTTACCAATATTGATTGCCCAAAAGAACTCAACTGACCTGACCTATGTTTTTTTCTGTTGTTCCAGGATTCTGCTACAACCAGATGATTCCTTACAGATCCTGGCACCAGTGGAAGCTGATGTCGGTTTCTATACTTGTAACGCCACAAATGCCTTGGGATATGACTCTGTCTCCATTGCCGTCACTTTAGCAGGTAACATGGAAATCCCTGTTCAGTTCAATTCAGAAACCATTATTGGGTGGGTGCCTACAATGTACCAAGTAGGACCAGGGACGCATAGATAAATGAGATCTATATCCTGCCTTCAGGAATCTTATAATCTGTAATTATAATTCAATGGAGGTGATGTGTAGTATGAGGCAGAATGAAATAAGTGCTCTGAGTGATGACCAAAGGATGTGCAAGGATATTTCATTCCATCTGGGAGGTCTTAGAGTTGGGGTGAGTGGAATTTTGATAATAAGAGATAGGGGAGATATTCCAGACAGAAAGAATATGAAAAAAGGAGATATGTACAGTAAATAGCATTTTGGGAACCATAGTTAAGATTATTGAATACTCTTTGGGGATCCTGTCATTTCTCCTTGTTACACTCATTGCACAAAAGACTTTAAGACCCATGAGGAATTGGAATTCTGTGGCCACAGTTTGAAGCCAGAAGTGTTCCGATTCTGTTTTCTGTTTTATTTCAACCTCTTGCTGTAATGCACTTGCCAACCCTTTGCCTGTACCCATCGTTGTTAGGCAAGACATTCTACACATGGTAACTTAAGAAAATTGACTACAGTGTCTCCCAAGGTTGTGGTCTTGTAGTAGTGCAGTTTTATAAAGCCTTTGTTAGGGCCTGGCCAGCATGGCTCAGTGGTTGAGTGTCAAACTATGAACCAGGAGGTCACGGTTCGATTCCCAGTCAGGGCACGTACCCCACTTCTAAGCTCAATCCCCAGTAGGAGCCACACAGAAGGCAGCCAATAGATGTTACTCTCTCTTCGATGTTTCTATCTCTCTCTCTCTCCCTCTCTCTGAAATCAATAAAAACATATTTTTTTAAGAAGAAAGCTCTTACATAGGATAAACCCTTTCCTTTGAAACTGAAGAAGACTTGAAATCCATATGAGTTGGACCAGTGTCCTCATTTCTCAGAGGCCAGGCAACCTGAGGTCACACAGCCGCTCAGATAGTGGTGGAGAGAAGTAAAGTGAGGTCTCCTAACTCCCCGCTCATTGTTCCCTCCATTTCCCCACTGATCCTACCAGAACGGGATTCTTTTTCTCAGACCTGGGCCATGCAGTCTTTGTGGTGATATGTTGCATGTGTTTGTATTTATTCTTTTCAGTTGTTGCTCCCATCAGATGATTCAGTAGATGCTAGAAAAGCCAACATCACCCCACACTGACCTCATCGGTCCATGCTGGGATTATGTTGTCACATTGCTTTCCAGCCACACATGCTACTCCCTTGCATATCAGTTTAGCAACAGTATTTCTGCCCCCGTGACCTAAAGCTGATCTGAGAAGGGCCCTTTAGCAGGAGGCTTTACAGAGAAGATGAAAGTCTACAATGAACAAGGCAAGCTAAGGAGCCCTGGGGTGGGTTAAAGAATGATATTAATAATGCCTATTTTTTGTGAATAGAACATTTGCTTTTCTCCTAATGTATTCCAGTCACAAGCTTTATTCCCCACTTTAATACAGAGTCCAGATGCTCAGCATCAGTCTTGTTAAATCTCTTCTGCCTTCCACTCTCCGACCTCCCTTAGCAAGGACACTGCTGACATCCTTCCAATTGAGGGCAAATAGTGGCTCTTAGAGGATTAACTCTCTTGTTTATATTTATCCAAATACCGTTCAGCTCTGTCACAAAATAAATGCCCTTTGTTCACCTGAATTTAATACGATTAATGGAAACCTGTCTGGAATTAAGCAAGGCAATTGAAACATCAGGCTTGTCTTCAGCTCTTTGAAGAGGAGCTATTGGAGGCTGCCAAAAGGTTCAAAGCCAGGGAAGAGAGAGCAGCCAGAGAGGCACCAGGGAAGGGGAGGAAAGGGGCTGCCTGGTGAGGTAGATCACAAACACCACCCCCAGAGCTTAGGGAGCTGGCGTCCTGTGCTCCAGTGGTGGGCTCTGTTCAGGTCTGCTGGCAAATCTGCCAAATAATCCCTCTAAAAATTAATGCTCAAATGTATACAGTGTCTTAAGATTGTATTTGTGTCTATACTGTGGTTATCATCTATCCCTGTGTCAATGTCTATACTCGCAGTATTGATGGGCTCACCAGCTACTGTTCTGAGTATACCCTTGGCCAAGTATTGTTGACATAGAGCAATAAATAAGCCCCGAGTTTTGTGCTCCATAATGTTTACAGACTAGTGAAGGAATAGATGCATTCATGGCTACCTAGATTCAAGAGGTTACAGTTTTCTTCAGATGTCCACACCAAGATCCTGCATAGCATTGTGTAACGTATAATCTAAATTGCGGAGTGGGGGTGGGGGTCATGCATTTCTAAGTTTGATTACCAATTATACTGCTTATTAGCTGTGTGATCTCGAACAAAGTGTAAAACCTCGTTGAGTCTTTGTTCTCATCCATAAAAATGAAATTAATAATATTTTATAGGATTGTTGTGACGTTAAATAAGATTGCACGTGTGAAAAAGCACTTAGCCCAATGCCAGGCACATAGTTCACACTCAATAAATGTTTTCTGTTTTTTCTCTAGCTTTTCTGAAATGAAACACATCCTGAAAGCAATTCCAAAATGTGTAAAACATTAGCCCGACTTTGCTTCCATGCATTTTTCACAAGAAGTTTTCACACTGAAATTTTTCAAGTATAAACTTAGGAGCTGATTCTGCTCACTTGCAATCAATTCCTTGTGGTAAATCTCAGTGCTTCTGTGCTTTTAATGACCTTGCAGAGTTTTTTACCTTCAGTTCAGTGTGAATGTAGGCCAAAAGGGGGGGGAAATGTTCTGAGGCTCAAAGTGCTCAGGTGTTCCCATGATTCTGTAAGGAATGTATGGACTTTGGTCTTGCCAATGCACCTGAGTTGACCAGATGCAGGGAAATTTGTTCATAATAATTCACAAGAGCAGGCATAGCATGGCAATTAAGCCTGCGGGCTCTGGAGCCTCATGGTCTGGATTTGATTCCTGGCTCTGTCACTTCCTAGCTATATAACCCTGAGCAACTTCTTTATACTCTATGTCTCAGTTTCTTTATTTGTAAAGTGGTGATGATAATAGTGCTTGCCTCGGAGGGTTCTTGTGGAGATGAAATGCATTCATCATGTAAAGGGCTTGTAATTGTGCTGGGCATATAGCAAGCACTGAGTGTTTATCAGCTATTATTATTGTGAGAATAATGCATAAAACAAAAGCCAAGTTATTTTTACAGTAGAGATCCTTTTTCAGAGACCAGAATGCTCAGAAGCCCTTCCTAGAGTGCCCATCTGTGTCTCAACATCTCCATGTCTCAGTGTCAACTGGAAAGATTGAATTCACCATCTAAAAAGGGGTTGGAGTGCCTGAATTCAGAGCAAGGGAGGTGGCTAGTGACAATGCATGTTTCCCATGGACCACAGGAAGGGAGGCTGATGAACTATCTCTGGTCCACAGCTTAGACCTCCCTGCCGAGTCTCCCATCTTCTGAATTGAGTGAGCTGCCACTTCTGTCTCTCAGATGCATTGTGGGGCCATTGCTACTCTCCCCACAATTTGTACTTAAACATGTAAACAGCATTTAGTTTCAGACATACCACTACAGTCAAACGTTCCTTTCTCTGCCTTCTTTGGGCCTGTAAAATACTGCCTTTTGTGCCTTTTGCTTCTCCCCAAACTCATCCTTTATGTACAGATTTTGTTTTCTAAGTCTCAGAGCTTTGAGAGTACTTGGCAAGTATCTCTACGCTTGGAGATGGCCAGTGTTTCCCTATCTATCTCCCTGGTTCAGGAAAATCACAGCCATGCAGACCCAGTGGCACAAAATTCCTTTCTGTCCTAAACTGGCTTAATTGAGCGCCTGTTTCACTGCTCAGAATATAGATGAGAGTAACACACAGTAGAGTGGAGAGGGAAGTATAAGAATATCACCAAAATGTCACCTACCTAACATTTTGAAGTATTGATTACTTTGTGTCCAGAGCAAAAACATGACTAAGTAAAGGAGAGTTTCTGGTATTGCAAGGATAGGCACAAGATTGCAGAGCCATCTTGACTAGTCAGATTGCACACAGCCAAGTTGCTCAGAAGTATTCCAGATCTGAATGGTGTGGGCAGCATTTTGAAGGAAAGCAGTAGTATCCTGGTAAATTGCTTCAGTCTGGATCAGTGGAGTTTAGCTCTACTTACCAATGCAGATGAGGCCTGTCCAGGTGTGGACCGCTGATGAAGTCATAGCCAGAAGGGAAATGTTTTTGGTTGTCATTGATTTTATAAGATCACAAAAGAGATACTGTAAGGCCTGCCTGACATCATCAATGGAAAATGAGAAGGAGGTGAGGGCTGGGGGATGAGCATATCTTTCATTGAAAGGAGAGAACACAGATGAGCTCATTCAAAGCTTTCACAGGAAAGGAGAAACAGAAAATATTTCTCCTTTCCTGGCATGTTTTTCTGCTTTTTTATGAGTTGAATAGCTGACACATATTGTGTCTAATAAAGAGATCACAGAAACCTCTCTGGGAAAATAAAAATAAAAGGCAGTTGTTTTTGAAATTCTTTTTCTTTCCCTTCCCACCATGATTTAGTAGCTACAATAAAAGACAAGCAGGTTTGCAAGCTATTTATAATGTAAGTCATTTTGAATTGGCATTTCTGGATTTTTCATCCAGCAGTTCTGTTAACCAGGGGGAGATTTTGCTTCATAGAGAGTTTGACTCAGAGAGGGCCTTGTCACCAGTGGCAGACTGACCAAGGAAGATTTACTCTGGCACACTAGATCAGGGGGAAAGGCGGACAAGTTTGGCTGTGTTCCTAATGGTACTCTGAATAGCATGGTAATTAATGGCCATTCACTGATTCAAGCTGCCGTCAGGGGACCTTATTATCTGATAGAAGACTGAGTAACCAAGGCCCTTCAGTTTTCCTCAATATGTACACATGTGTAGCTTGCCCACTAAAGACTCCTCGGTATTACAGAACTTAAACAGATAAAATTATAGCAAGAGGATCCAACTTACTCTATTTCCCAG